GGTTTAAACGCCTAACTTTTATACAACGCATTGCATTTCTCTGCTTAATTATATATATTAAAATTGCAAATACTTATGCAAAGCTTAATTATATGGTTTAGATGAAAAATTGTGCAAATTGTGCAAATTGAGCCATGACTGTAAATACGAGGGGAATAAGTCAGTACATAATGTAAATAATCACTGTATTTTAAACCAAAATAATATTTACATTACGGCAAGGAGGTTATTGATCAATGTTAAAACTACTAAATATTTTGAACATATTATGTGTACTAAACTGAAATATTTATGATATCAAGTAAAAGGAGAGAGAAAGTGTAGAACAAAGTGGAGAAACGGCCAATAAAAGAAGTTTCTATACTCAACTGAATATGCGACAGATCACAATGGAAGTCCTCTGCAAGTTTATTACATCGAAGTAACCTGTTTCAATCCAAGCATCCGAATATATTTCCATTTAGCTCAGCGGATTTCAAATATACAGTGAGGATGCAAAGCTATTTTTAGACTCAGACCAAACCAAAACTTTGTCCTGACTACGCTGAAAAAGTCTAGTAAATACTACTAACCCTAAAAGCTATCTGGAGGCAGGCTTGATTGGTCAAGGAGTTTTTTTTTGTTTGTAAAGGCTTCAAAAATTGCTGTAAGGCTGCGCTTAAACTTGAATACTAACTAAGTAAAAAAATATTAAGAAACTACGCAGATTAAACGGCATAAACTTGGAACTCTTTTTCAATATCATACGTGGTTTCATCATGAAAAGATTCCTACGTTAGCATGCCATTGAATCAGCGAAAAATAAACGTCGTTGTGGACTTTGGTTCCACCTAGAAAAGATCAAATAATGTAAAATTACATATCTTAAGAAGAAAATCTATCAAAATACTACATGAATTTAGTTTCGAATAATGTTAAGATCTAAATCTGCTGCCGCATCTGATGAATTTTTACGTTACTAAGTTTATATAAGGAGTAATTTGAGAAATATTCTTATACAACCACCCAGCAATGAAACTCAATTAAAAAACTGAAGCCTGTTCTGAACTGAGTTCACTTTTCCGCAGGTATGTTTACCATCAAACCACAGAGGAAACAATGCAATGTTCGGTAAATTCAAGAAGATTGGTATTAATGGACTTTCCTTAAGTAAACTTCTACTTCGACTGCCATTCTATTTAAGGAATATGTACCTGCAAGTCTCAGCCAATCAGCAAACGTTTCGCAAGTTCATATAATATTTTCTCAAATGTTCTACATGAGCTCCATCCACCGTAACCGAAGGAAATTGAATTTTTGTTAGACATAATTTCGACGAACTGCTGAAATGGAAAGTTGCAATCAAGCACTAATTAAAGGAAATTTGAAATTCAGCGAGAGCAGAAGGCATTCGCGAGTCTTTGTGGGGAGTCTACAGCAAAGATTGCAGCGACACAACTGAAAAGCGTTATACACAACCTCAAATAAGTTTAAAACCGGGAATTGCTCAGCCAGCGTTAATTCATAGAAAATTACGTAGGCTGCTTTTGGGCGTCTAACATCGCATTTACAATTTGATTAGCGAAAAGAGATAATTTCTTGCAAACTTGAATAATTATAAAAATTATTATCTTTGAAACATTACTCAAAGCGTTCAAAAAAAAACCGGATACATCAAAAAATACAGAAAGTGGCGGCTTCTCAGAAATTTATTTGTCACACAAGAAGCGCACAGTCGAAAACTTAATTCACTTTCAATTAAAGACTCACCACAAGTGTAAAACCAATTTCTGGTGATTCACCAAATTGAATTTTGACGATAGACGAAAAAAATGGCAGGCTGTCAAAAATATAACAGTTAACGTGCAAGTGTCATACAAAAGTTTTAGCACTTGCGGTGAGGTATAGACAATATACAATATTTAAATATATTATATATTTTTACAGTAGGTATTGAATAAAGTGTACGAAGACATGAAGCTTGCTAGCATACTACTTGTATGTAGTGCATAATATATTGAGGTGCAAATGCGGCTACAGCAACTTACCACAACTTCAATCAAATTCAATAAGAAACTTTTGCTGCTTGCCAGTGTTGCCAAATGCGAAAAGTGGTAAAGTTTTATGGTTAAATTCGCAAGAATATACTCACAAAGTGTTTCAACCCGCTAGAAAGCGCAACAATATTCTTTGTTTACACAGTAGTTCATAAAATAAACACATTACGCCAAAAAGCATGCTATTAAAATTGTTGCAATTTCTAGTTAAGCAAACTGCAAAGTTCGCTTTAATTTATGTGCTTGTAGTCTACTGTATATTGTGGTTTCCAATACTAATGTTTACCGTTTCGCTCATATAGAGTTAAAAATACATATAAGTGCCTAAAAATATGCCACAGAGTAAGCACCACTTGCGTTATATTGAATTTTTGGCGTCAAAAAGTAGAGCATAA